CTGTGCAGGACAGGAGAATTTTCTTTGGTTATTTCAGTTTGTTCATTGGCCACTAGAAATGTAGGTACAGTATGTTGATTTATCTCTGGATATAATGACCTTCCACAGCCTGATTAAATAAAGAACCCTATATTGCTTATAGAAGTACCTATTAGATTTATTTGATACCGTCAATAGTACCATTCTGAACGGTGTCCACTACCATGAAAATATTCTATTGCATGAATTTTAGAAGATGGACATATGCTCCTCTGGATCTTTCTTTAGAACTTCTTAACATTTCTGTCAAATTAGATTATTATTATTACCGAACGCAATGGTAGCTTTGATATTTTTCCCCGTTTTTTATTATTCTTAACATCCTTAACAAAATTATAAATGTGAAAGTAAAGATGTTTGTTAACCTTTCACGCAAAAACTACTGAACCAATCATCATGAAATTTATGCTCAAGTTCATTGGAAGTATAAGAATGAACATAGGATACTTTTTATAAAAAAAAAATCCATTCAATGCGAACGAAGCCGCGTATAAAAGCTAGTAATATTATAAACGCGAAAGTTTGTGAGTATAGATGGATGTTTGTTACTCTTTCACGCGAAAACTACTGAACGGATTTTGATGAAACTTTACCGTAATATACTTTAGAATTACGTCAGAATAACATATAGGCTATAATTTAAAAAGGCATGTACAGACAAAGTTGGTGGGTCAGCTAGTTATTTATAATCCTTTTTTATCCTACTATCTTGCGGAATACGGTTACCCTGACAACGCAATTAGTCAGTTGTTGCCTAGTGGACGCAATGCATTAGGAACTGTTTCTAAAACATACTAACTCCGATAAACAAGTCATCGAAAATATGGGCACGGCCGGATTCGTTGATTCGACAGCAAATATCAAAAATAACAAATGATTAAAAAATTCCTAGATAATAATTATCATTATAATAATAATGTTGATTATTATTGTTTAATAATAGTATATCTAAATTGTGTCACTTAACTAATACATAATAATGTGACTTGAAACTATCTGGACGACCGAGCTTGGCTCAGTTTTTCTTTTGTAATATACACATATTATTACTTACTAATATTGTAAATGTTGTTGTTTGTCACAATGTTTATTTGATATTAAAGTTCTGTATACAAAAAATATATAATAAAATTCTTTAGAAAAATACAATATATGAACTATAAAAGTATATGGCCAGTACGTCAGCAACAGTAAATGAGAAAGTAACTCTGTCTGTTTATCACGCTATCACGCCAAAACTATTGAACTGGTTTAAATAAAATTTGGTGCACAGTTAGTCTAGACCCTGAGAAAACATATAGCCTACTTTTTAATACGAAAATAGGGTTGTAAGGGGTTGAAAAGGGAGATGGAAGTATGGTCATTTTTAAAGCTAGAAGCTTTAACGTATTATTATGATAAGTTTAAGCTTCTAGCTGTTTATAAATTAATATGACATTCAAAGTTTGTGAAAATTTTACTCTTAAGAGTGTAAAATAAAATAGGGGATGAAAATTAGCATGCAATTTCGTCATTTTTAAGACTTAAAACTTATATTGATTAAAAATTAGTATCAAGGGTTGTTATTATTAATTATAATATTTTTTTCATTAATTTCTTGCATATACATTACTTCCTGGTTCCATGTGATTTAAATTTCAGTTATTAATCTGTATTTTTTATTTTCTTTCGAACAATGTTGCTAGGTTAAATATAAAAAGGTGCATTTTAGGTATCCGACTTTATTAGACCCTCTTGTAATATTAGAGAAATCTCAAGAAATAGAAATAATCTTTATTCAAATAAACTCATTACAAGCACTTTTGAATAGTCATATTTTTGATTCTACCATTTGTATACCCATATTCATTAATGTTATTTTTTTTCAATTTATTTTAATGCTGTTGGCCGCAGCTGACTGTTACAGCTTCAACGAACTAAAATTAGGGAGAGTGCAGAGGGCACTCTAAAATCAAGGGACTTATGGAGCGGCTAGAAACCAACTACCTGATGAATTTTCAGGGCAGGACGAAGTTTGATCCTCGGCTTCGGCAGTGGTAAATTCAACCCGCGTTTGGATGGGACAGGGGCCTGATCAGAGTTCTAAGTAGTAAGCTGCTGAAAGCAGACTCTTTTCTGGTGGATTTTGAGGGCACTAAAAGTTTGAACCTCGACTCAGAATGTTGTAATTTCGATCCGCATTTGGATGAGACAGGGGCTGGTTGGAGTGGTAAGAAGGTAATCATGTCGAATAACGCACATAATTCTTAAAATGCGTGACACACTAACAATAATTATCTGATAATAAATTCTAGTACAATATATCACGTAAACAACTGCAACAACTGTGACTAGGAACTTAAATAAAGGATTTTCATATGTAAACGTAGTGTAGGACGCCCCGCAGCTAGGTGCAGCGACGACATACGTAGGCCTCTCCCAAGGCATGCCACTGGGCACGATCTTCAGCCCTTCTCTTCTAGTTACTACCCGCAACTGGAAGAGAAGGGCTAAAGATCGTGCCTTGGGAGAGGCCTATGTCTATATCTAGCAGTGGACTGCAGTGGGCTGATGATGATGATGACGATGACATTTTATTCTTTGATTTTTGTAAGATTATATTTGCACCGCCAATAATTATACTTTGCACCATCTATGGTCGACTGGCAGAAATACCGCATGGTGTTAACTCTGCCAAATGTACTGTTACTCTTTATACTGCGTGCATTAAAGTTATATAAATAAATAAATAATTACTTCTATGGGCATGTAATGCGTAGGAATGAAGATCATATCTTAAAGAAGGTGTTACATATGAATGTGGATGTTACAAAGGCAGAGGAAGACCGAAAAAGAGACGGATGGACTGTGTGAAAGATGATATGGAAAGAAAGGGAGTAAATAACGATATGACTGCGAACAGGGATGAATGGAAGAGAAAAACATATTACGTTGACTCAAATTAAATGGGATAAGGAAGAAGCAGATGATGAAATAAATAAAAAATCACGAGGTAGTTACGGACATAAAAATATATAATTCCTGTAAGTGTTTGTCCTACATGGATAAGTCTACAGTTTAATTAGTCGTCTTTACTTTTAATCAACAGTCATATTGAGGAAAATACTCGCGTCGGTAATAAATTATATAACATTAACAAAAATTATGTTTACATTAGTTATTAAGGAAAAGATACATTTATGACTATGTTATACCTAAATTAAATCTACACCTGTTTCTCTCTTATGTTATACCTAAATTGAGTCAGCATGTGCTTCTCCCTTATCCCATTTATTTGAAGTCGGCGAAATATATTTTTCTTTCCATTCATCTCTGTTCGCAGTCATCTTTCACAAATTTCATTCATTTCTTTTTCAGCCTTACTCTGACCTTATAATCATCTAGATATGCCCATCATATTGCCCAGTGGCGTGCTTGGGATAGGTCTATGTCCAGCAGTGGACTGCAGTCACGTTTCATGTATAACACCTTACTTAGATGACTACAATTATAACTTAAATATTCTTACTTAGATATATGTATAGAATGTTATATATATATATATAATCCAAACCCTAATCCTAAATCTGCTATATCATCGAGGCTGTAAAATTATATTGTAATAACTATACATTTTTTTTTCGGATTAATCTAATGCCGTTGGCCGCAGCTGTCCTTTACAGCTTCACTGGACGATAGGGGGCGAGTGCAGATGGCACTCCAAACCCACGGAAGGACTTATGGAGCGGCTGAAGGCCAACTTCCGCCTGACGGATACGACTTTAGTCTGAGGGCACAGCTTCGAACCTCGGCTCAGCTCGTCGTAATTTCGGTCCCCGTTTAAATTGGACGGGGGATCGATCGGAAGGGAAGTAAGAGGCACGCGATAACTATAAAGATATTGGTACCATTTATAGTTATTTCAACAGCTATTTCCTCTCTTCCAATTAGTCAGATGTTATTTTATGGAAAATAGCGCGTAGGTGTAACATACAGGTAAAGTGTTGCCGATCATATCGTTGTCTCTATTATTTAGCCCTGATTAGAGAGAGACCGCACGATTTGCGCCCGTTACTAAGGTTACAACGTAATGGAATCCCTTATATGGGTAACTATGATTAATTTTTTCGATATTAATTTTTTATTGTGATTTGTTGTGAATAAGATATTCTAAACTCAGCAGCTTCAATGTTTTAACAAATATTTGAAGATCATTCAACATACACGTGTGTATATTGAATGATTGCGATACAACGGTGTGCAAACCCGACGTCGGTAGTTTAGCGGTTTAGCACACCGCCCTACTTTCCGATGGTAGTAGGTTCGTTTCTTGCATGGAGCAAACACTTGTAAATATGAGTATGAACTGTTTGTATTGGTCTGGGTACTTTCTACGTATATTAGGTATGTACAAAAAAATATTTGTAGCTGTTGTCTAGTACCCATACACAAGTTGTGATTAGGAATAAATGGCGTTGATTGTTCAAAGTTGTTTGTTATTATGATTAAGATTTGATTACTATTACACATAAATGGAAACAATATTGCAATCACGTGTATAGTAATCACTCACTACTGAACATTGGCCAGTAGAGCACCCCAATAGGCCATCTAGTGACAAATTGTAATAGTTGTTTAACTATATGAACAGCACTACGGAGATATGTTCATCAGTGACGCCCTGTTCATCAGTGAGTACCCTCAGGCAATCCCAATCCTGAGGACATTATTCCTACGTACCAGAAAAATCACATATTTCACTGCTATATTTTAAATTATTACTAATAGTTTGATGAGTAAAAATGTATCTAACAATAACAGGTTAGCTGGTAGAGAATGCCATATAGCATTAAGCTCGCCTTTTGTACAATAAAAAAAATCTCTCGAATACATATTATACGCTATACATACACATATATACAGAAAGAATATCATATTTATTAAATTCTTATAATTTTGTAGTAAAGGTCCAAGTATCATACCCTGTGGTATCTCCTCCGCAGAGTTGTCTTACAATCCTCGTGACCTCACACCTGGCCGGTCCCATGCTCGTTGTCTGTACAAATAAACACATTAACACTCGCAACAATCAAATTCCGACTTGCATAAGGCAAACTGATGCAATAAAAATAACTATAGAGTACAAGTAAGGCAACGCTATGGATTCTTCAAGACCTTTTAGTCTTATGCATTACAGGTCGGCTTTTAAGGATCCTAATAAGTGTATGTTTATCATTGATACTGATATTGCTCTTAAATAAAATCTCACACATATTTTGTGTACTTCTAATGACAAACAAGATTTGAAAAAATGCAACGACGTATTTGACCTAGTGAATCTATACATATAAATAAAATAGGTGTGTCTGTTTGTAATAAAATTGATTTTATAAAAATACGGTTACATTTTGTATCTATAATATAATATCTTGCTAATCAATTATTGTAAAACCAATTTTGATAATTCTGTTTAATTCAATATAATGGATGATTTTAGACTAAAATTATTATTGACTATGTGTACCAGTGACTTCTTCCGCTTGGAATTTAACTTTATTTTTCTAAAATAAGAGAATTTTTCTAAAATAAAAGTAGCTTAAGTTACTCCTTATTACATCAGCTCCCTCCAGGTCCAGCCTTTTCAGAGATTAGCCGAATCAAACAGACAGACGAAAATTGAAAAAAAATTTTGGTGTATGTACCGTATTTATATTCATATGCATGTAGTTAAAAACGGTTATTTCAATATTACAAACAGACACTCCAATTTTATTTATATGTATAGACTAGCTACTCGCCTCGGCTTCGCCCGGGTGTACATACATGTATTATATACATAAACCTTCCTCTAGAATCACTCTATCTATTAAAAAAAAACCGCTTCAAAATCCGTTGCGTAGTTTTAAAGATTTAAGCATACATAGGGACAGACAGCGACAGCGACTTTATTTTATACTATGTAATGATGAAGAAGTTATTAGCAATGCTAATACTTGAGAGTAATCATAGTGTATCTTATTCTGGTACATATAACAACATATATATAATAATAAAATTATATAATATATTACGTATATATAACTACCTCAATTCATTAGTTAAACCGTTAGAATCCTTACCATTGATACAAATAAATAAAATAGAACTGTTACATCGAAAATATAATTATAAACAATTTTGTCTGTCAGTTTGGTCCTGTTAATCTCTGAAACTGTTGGACCGATTTTGAGTGTCTGTTTCTAATTTCAAATTAACACCTTTACACTGAATGCATATGAAAGTATAATCAGTAATACATTTTTTTTTACATTGTCTGTATGTCTATTCTAGCTAATCTCATAAACGGCTGGACAGATTTTGATGGGACTTTCACTCGCAGATAGCTTATTTTATAAGGAGTACTTTAGGCTACTTTTATTTTATAAATCTTATTTGTATAAGGAATAATTTAGGCTACTTTTTATTAATTTAAATCTACGTAGACAATATTGCCAGTAACAGCTAGTTTAAAATAATTCACGAACATACAATGTTACGTTCTTTATAATATTTATACATATAACACAGTTCTCAGCATCTGTACGCTTCATCCTTTATCGATGGTTTTAGTTGCATTACCCCATGAAAACTCTTAGAAAGAGGACTACTGGCCGAAGGGGGTGGTGTATCGGCGCTACCGGGGCAGATTACCGTCATCAGTGCCGTGACCACACAGACAATATCAATATATTAGTTTTAAAATATTATTTCATATGTATGTTAGTCTATAAGGTATTTATGATATGGGCCTAGTTGCCTGAAATAAATAAATAATAATAATATATTATCATAATCCTGATAGAATTTCCTTCCAAATAAAAAAAAACCATCACTCTCGAGTATTTCGAGGTAACGTTTTTATTACAACTTTGAGACATGCCTATTTTCACCCCTCCGATCGAACCCCCGTCCAATTCAAACGGGGATCGATATTACGACGGCCTGAGCCGAGGTTCGAACCCCTAGTGGTGCCCTCAGACTAAAGTTGTATCCGTCAGGCGGGAGTTGTCTTTCAGCCGCACCATAAGTCCTTCCGCGGGTTTTTCCTTATGTCACGCTAAAATTGACAGATTATTGAAATATACACTTTTCTGGATGTACTTATCTTAATCTGACACGCTCGAGTTTTTCTAAGGATCGATTTTTTTTACTAATCTGACGGGCTGTCCTCAACGCACCACACAATATTAACACCTTCAGAGTCAGACCTTAAGTCACCGTTTTAAAAAAAGATTATAATTTTTTTGTAAAATTACTGATTCCCAGACCATTTTCATCGAAAAATGCGACAGACCAAGGCTTTCATTTGTGTAATAGTCATAATATGTACAGAGAACGTGTTCCTAAAGGATACATAGCGCGATTACTAAGTAGAAAGATATTGTATTGTTTATACTTTTGAATCCCATCAAAAACATAAATGTGAAATGATAGCCGAGTTTAATATTATGATATATACCTTGATTGTTGACTTCTACGACAAAAGAGATGAAATCTAAATGGGTGCCAAGTTCAATGGTCTGTCCTGAAATGTATTTATAACAATATAAAATATCATTTCTTCTTATAACTTAGGATAATATACTGTAGCCTAAGGTCTGACTACACAGAGAGATGGTGGTATGATGGTAGAGATACAGTGTTCCAGACACTGTGTGACAAAAAGATGCACATGGCGCCTAAGGTGTTTTTTTTTTTGGATGATAATGGAATGTTGCACCCGCCTTCGTTAACGGTTTACGCTGGCGGGGCACCAGTGGAGGATGATAAGATGAACATGAAGTCAGGTCAGTTAGCCCATCGTGACAAATGCACCAAGAATTTATCACGATGGTTTCCAGGGGGAACCGCATGGAGGTCGCTTTCACATGGTACATATTACTCAACATTAGTAACAATCCCCTTCCCGCCGCGCCCAAGGTGTTAAGGGTTAATATTTGGTAGGGGTACATTACAGGGTGCAAGGTTTCCAAGGTCAGGCAAGGTCTCCCAAAACCTCCGCTAGGGCTACCCTACTATATACCCTATGCAGTACAATTCGATCGAGTCATCAAGGTTGTTCCCGTGCACAGACACATCCCGTCTTAACCCTGACACCCAGACCCATAAACAATTCCGCGTGAAACGTGCAATCCCCATAAATGCAAAGATTACGTCATGTTGAGATAACACGGCGCTGCGCGAGAATTTCGCTCGGCCACCAGTTCTAACCGCGCCACCGGCTCTACTATACGCGAGTGATTCTATACAACTTAGGCATCATGGTGAGTGTTTATAAATTCCCAACATGTTCCACCACAACAGTGTTTTGTCAAACAATTTTTTATTATATTAATAGTACAAGATTTATAAGCCTTGTATATGAACTCCAATAATACGACATAATGTAGTTCACATTAATACAACAAGATTTATTATTTGTTTCTAATGTTTTAACTCAACAAATACTTTTTATATAATATCTCGCTCTTGCAACCATTATTATGTCCATGTTCTTTTTGGGTTCTGTTATAAATTTTTTCTTCTTCTTTCTTTCATCTTCTCCACGAAAATACTTAAGATATATGAAAAAATTTTTCACCAATATAAAACTAATATATCTCTTCAACAAATACTTTTTATATAATATCTCGCTCTTGCGACCATTATGTCCATGCTCTTTTTGGGTTCTATTATAGATTTTTTTTTCTTCTTTCTTTCATCTTCTCCACTAAAATACTTAATATATATGAAAAATTTTTTCACCAATATAAAACTATATCTCTATACTGTTAATAAATCAATAGATTTTTGTTACCTTTTGATGACTAAGCGACTGAATGGTTCTTAATTCAATGAAGTATGAAGATATACCTTGTATCATAAGGGAGGAAAGGCTATATTTTAAGTAAAAAAAGTGGACGAAGTCATTGGCAACAGCTAGTCGAATATATGAGACATATTTACATAGTATAAAATGAAGTCTCTTCCGCTTTTTGTTCGCTTAAATCTTTTAAACTAAGCGACGGATTTTATTGCACTTTTTAGCAGTAGATAGAGTGATTCAAGAGGAAGGTTTATATGTATAATACATGTATAGGCGGGTAGCTAGCTGTGTATAAAAAATAATAGAAATTCTATACAATAATTGCAAACAGTGCGGAGCCGTGACGTTTCGAATATTTACGAAAATAAAACGTTGGGTAACGCCGGCATTAGGGTTGCCAACTTTTTTGACAAAAAAATGTATATAAACTGGTTTGGATAGGAAAATAATAAAGTACCTATTAGGAAAAAAAGTATTTTTCTAATTCCATATTTTTATTGCTTTCAAAACGTATTTTTGTGTGCATTTAATATTAGAGCTGTGATAAATGTCACAACTCACAATTGACATCTAACATTTAGTTCGGTAATTATAAATCGTTAAGCACCCATAATGAGTATTTTGTTTTACGCATCACAGTAAAGGTTGAGAATAAAGTATTTTTGCATACTTTATTTGAATGTTTAATTTGAAATTTATACTTTTATAAAGTAAAGTAGGATACGTTATAAAGTACAGTTGGCAACCCTAGCCGGCTGTGTGTATCACAGCGGGAATTTTGAGACTGGAACACATAAAACTATTACGAACATATTTCAATGTCCTCTATAGTATAATAATATACGCTTATTTATATATTGAAGGTAAAAATGTATTATTTTAGCATTTGAATGTTACATTACATTACATTATTACACGACTAGATGTGCCCGCGGTTTCACTTGCATGAAATTTATAGGCTACGTTTTATTCTGATCCATAAGCTATATTACTGTAAGGTTTCACCAAAATCAGTTCAGTAGTTTTTGCGTGAAAGAGTAACAAACATCCATCCATTCTTACTCACAAACTTTCGCGTGGATACGAAACATCAAATTTAAAAGATTAGAAACCTTTTCATTTGATGTAATTTGAACGTTAGGTTTTGTTTGTTAAGAATCATTATTGTTCACACATATGACAGAAATTTCAATATAGTGAAACATATATATTAGGGTTCATGATTTCTCGAGCTTTTCAATTTCTCGGGTCTCGAGAATTCTCGAGGTCAATTTCTCGGGTCTTCTCGGGTTGTCGAGAAATTTACATTTACGTACGTTTTCTCATATTATTTGGTTCCAATAACGTCAAAAAATTCTGTGGTTTTCCTCTCAAATAAAAGTATCAAATTAAACTTTTGAGTATATTTAAAAACATTAATATTACATATGTATAAATTATTATTTTTTTAAATAGAGAAATAATATTAGATCCTTACATATGAAATTGGCGTTTTGTGGTACTGGTCACTTTGATCTCAAATATCTCCTCTTTGGTTAGGAATTTCATTTCCAAATTTATACAGCTATTCACTTTGGGTCACTCACAGCATACAAAATGAAAAAACTTAAAATATCGCGTTATTTACGAGTACGAGTTCCGCTGTGGCACCAGTGCTACACGGTGCTAAACGGCTCGAAGTATTAATGATGTGTATGGCAGTGGTCTCGCAAAAGAAAACACGTGCATTTTTGGTTACAACGTTTTCGTTCTGGAAATTTCGACCTGCAAAGCAATCTCCGTGGGCGGCCGGAATCCAAGGTTAATAATGAAGAATTGAAGGCTATTGTGGAAGCGGATCCATCGCAAACCCGTCCGAGTTAGCTGCAAGCTGCGGTGTTAGTGACAAAACTGTTTTAATCCTTTAGCAAATTGGGAAGATGAAAAAGCTTTTACCCCAGGGTGGTACCAGTAACCAAGTTACTGGAGAATCCACCCCTGAGATATCACACTCAGGCTGCCCTGCGTATTCTGGGGTGGGCAATTCTCCGCTCAATTTGGCCAGAAGGAAACCGAGCAAATCTCCATCGGCGTTTTCTTTGCTCATAGTCAGTTTTTGCAACATCAGGGGAATTCATTCTAATCTCAACGCCGTTCACCACCATCTAGAGTCGGCGAGGCCGGCTTTGCTCTTCCTTACGGAGACGCAAATATCCTGTCCCGACGAAATTATTGAGTCCTTGGCGTTGATATATCAAGTGACGTTCAGTTTTGCGGTCATTTGGAGGACAAGGTTAAAATAGCCTCAAAGAAGCTTGGTGTGCTTAGTAGAGTGAGACGGTATTTCACGGCGGCCCATCGCTTGCAATTATACAAGGCGCAGATCCGGCCGCATATGGAATACTGTTCTCATCTCTGGGCCGGAGCACCACAATACCAGCTACTTCCATTTGACCGCATTCAGAACCGAGCAGCCAGAATCATTGGTAATCAACGTCTATGTGACAGACTCGACCCATTGGCTTTGCGGCGAGATATTGCATCTCTGTGCATTTTCTACCGCATATATCACGGGGAGTGTTCTGAGGAATTGTTCGGATTAATACCAGCTGCTGAGTTTCACCACCGTACCACCCGCCAGAAACTGAAATACCATCCTGATAATCTGGATGAATGGCGGTCTTCCACAGTACGGTTTTCTAGAAACTTTTTGCCTCGCACAACCACATTGTGGAATCACCTTCCAGCAATGGTATTTCCGAACCGATACGATATTGAAACCTTCAAGAAAAGAGCTTATTCCTTTTTAAAAGGCCGACAACGTACTTGTTGCGGGTGCTCATGGGCGGCGGTAATCACTTACCATCAGGTGAGCCGCATGCTCGTTTGTCCCCTGTGTTATAAAAAAAAAAAAGCTTGAAAAGTGGGTCCCTCATGAATTCAATGGAGTAAATCGACGTACGCGCGTAGCCTGCTGCGTTACATTAATCAACCGGCATAATAATGAAGGGATTTTAAATCAAATCATTTCCTGTGGTGGAAAGTGGATCTTGTACGATAATCGGAAACGCTCATTGCAATGGCTAAACCCTGGCGAACCAACCAAATCCTGCCCCAAGCGAAATATGGCTCAAAAAATGTTACTTGTGAACGTTTGGTGGACTATTTACGGTGTTGTTCACTTCAGCTTTCTTAAATCTGGCCAGACGATTACGGCAAATGTGTATTGTCAGCAATTGAGAAACCATGATGGAAAAGCTAGCTGCTAAACAACCGAAGCTGGTCAATCGCCAAGAACGCTTGACCACATAGTGCACAACAGACAGTACTTCCCGGACCTTGCTCCAACAGATTACCATTTTTTTTCGAAATTCGGTAACTTCTTGCAAGGGATAAAATTACACTCCGATGGGGCAGTCCAAAGTGCAAAAACAAAAGGCAAAAGTGCATAAATAGAAATGGTACATACTTTGATTAAATAAATATATTTTATATATTATTTACTTTGATATATTTTGAAAAAAAAAATACTTTAGGTTATTCCCTTACAAAACGCCAATTTCAATTTTTTAGGACCTAATTATTCAGACTTATATTTATAATGATAGCACCATTTTTGGCTGCTTATTTAGATAAAAAAAAACAATGTAAACAAAAATAGTTTCTACAAAATAAAAAAATAACATGAAAGAAAACAAAAACGTTAATATCTTAAATAATTGCGCCGCCACGCAACAACACAAAGGGCAATTTAATTTCTATATAGGTACATGATTTCTCGAGTTCTCGACTTTTCTCGAGCTTGATTTCCCGGGAACAAAACCCATGAATTTCCCGGGAATTCTCGAACCGAGAATTCCCGGGAATGAACCCTAATATATATATATACAAAGCATTTGCAAGTATGCAATGCATATATGTATGTAAATATACGACTCGGTGGCCTAGTAGTATAGGACCGCTTAACTTCCCATGGTCATGAGTTCGATTCCTTGCACGGTACAAATATTATAAATATATTTATGAGTATGATTATTTCGATCGGTTTGAGTGCTTTCCATGTATACATAAAAAAAATGTATTTATTTATTTGTATTCGTTATCTAGTGCCCATAACACTGGCTCAGTTAGCTTGGGACTAGATTTTTTTAAACGAAATATATATTTTTTTAGTGGGTATTATTTAAATATTTTTTATCAATATATACAGACTATATGTACGAGTGTATTAAGAAAAGCTTTTTTTATATATAATTAGATTGTGAGTGTCTATACATAGAAGTTTAATACTCGGACCCAGACCATAAAGGTCACAAAATCCAATCACGTCAATACAAAAAAATTGCGTGTCTGCTTCGAATTTTGATGACTCTCTGGCGATGGTAACATCGACAATAAACCAAATTAACTCGGGAGAGTGCTGTAGACCTGCATAATAATAGTCATTAAAGATAACATTGTAAATATAATTATAATATT